CTTTCTGCTCCCCCACCACCACCAAAAAAAAAAGTGGAAAGGGCTGCTCTTTCCTGGACAACTCGTTCGGTGGGTATGGATTTGGTGGCTTTCTCTCTCCCTCCCTCTCATTTCTATTGCTCCTGAGTGGGGGGAGGAGAGGGCTTGCTGCTTTATCATCACAACCCCCCACAAGTCTCACAGATTTTGGGTTGCACAGATGAAAACTTCTGGAAGGAGAGACCAGCGAGGAGGGATTTGGCTCAGGTGCGCCTTGCTGGCTTAGGTAGAATTTAAAAGGAGTGCCCAGATGAGGAGGCTTTTTGGCTAGATCACGAAGCCATCAGCTTTTGAACCTTTCCCATTCTGTTCCCCCAGCTGATGCTCGCCAAGCAAGCGGTTTTGGAATGGCATTCACATCCCTGCAGGATGGCATTCCTGGGCAGAATTTCACCCACTGTGACTGTCACGCTTGCCACTAACAGATGGATGGGGAGGAACATATGGGCTCCATCCAGCAAAGGATGGTGGGTTTAGAAAAACGTACAGCTCTGTTGCCAACTTCCTTCAGAAAGCCTCATCGCTTAATTTCTGGGATGGACATAATAGGACTCAATCCAGAATGTCCTGAGGCTAGGGCCAAAGACCTGAAAAAGCTCTGCTGTCTAATAGCACAGTTGATAGAGGTTAGGCTGTAGAGGTTCAGTGGTGCAGTTTAGGCACTCTGCACCTGTCCAGAGATACGCCTATCCATGGTCTCGTATTCTAGGTCCGATTGATGATACGCGGAAGAAACAGCAGAAAGACTAAGATAGGTGCTATAGGAAAAAGCCTGCTGGTTGAGTTGGCAGTCTTTTTTTCCTGCTTCACATGTTAAGTTTTGAGCCAGGAATTCATATAGACAAGGCTCAAGAAGTGACAATTAACTGGAAACGTGTTTGATGTTCATGTTAGATCTACATAGTATCTTAAGTTAACTCAAACTTGTCATACTTAATAAAAATCAACAAAACCATATTTGTTGGGAGATTCCTGGGTAGTCACTTTGGTTACTTTTCCATTAGCAAATGTAGTGATAGTTGGATTGGCATAAAATTCTGAGGGCCACAGTGAAGTGGCACCATTATAAGATCATCAAAATGTGTAGAAGGTGAGCAGAGATGCTTGAAAACACAAAAGCTTTCAGGAACATTTTTGCATCATCAGGTGAGACATTAAATGAAACAGTATGGGGAAGAGGAAAAACAGGAGGCTAACCTTAAGTCTTTCTTGTTTCTGTGATGGACAGATAATATGTTAGACAAAGGAATGGGTCTCATAAGGTGATGCAGAACTGTTAGGTTTCACCCAGGGTAGCTATAAAGACTCTGAGGGCTGAAAAGTTAGAAACTTTAGGTTCTCTGTTTTAAACAATGTAAGTCTCCATCAGTATACTCAGTGTTATATCAGTCCAGTTTGAGCACACAGGTTCTTTGGATGATGGAAAACAGAGTTCCCAGGCAGTCTTTAAGTTGTCTGTAGTGAGCTTAATTTTAAGTGTTGGTTTAGGTTTTTTTTTTTAAGTCACTGAAGTCAAATTATGTAGCTTGATGTACTTGGCTTGGTGAGGTTCTGTCTTTGATGGTATAAAGTCCTTCTATAGATCCCATTGCTGAAAGTCACATGCAGAAGCAGCTAGCACAGAATAAGTTTCAAACAGCATATTGACATTATATCTTATGAGTTAACCAAAAATGTACATTAAATATACAATAAAACATAAATATCTGTGTTGGTTTTTTTCCATGGCTTAATCACTTGTTTATTCTGAGAATGTGGGTGGCTGTATCTTGCATTCTTGTCCTTTATTATTTTTGTTATTAAGGTGGAATCTGTAATTGATTTTTGGTTTCCATCAAAATAGCACCCTATACCTGCCAGATGTACCATAATGCCAATGTCTCACCTGGTACAGAGAAGCATAGGTGATGGTCTGGAGCCCTACCCCTTATTTAGCTGCTCCTTGCTATCTACTAATCCTTTGTCAGGCTGAGCATGGGAGAGGCCTTATTAATGCGTTTGCATTTACAGTGGATATAAAAAGTTTACACATCCTGTTAAAATGTCAAGTGTCTGTGATGTAAAAAAATGAGACAAAGATAAATAATTTCAGAACTTTTTCCACCTTTAATGAGACTTATGAACTGTACAACTCCTCAGCTGAACAACAAACTGAAATCTTTTAGGTGGAGGGAAGTAAAAATAAAAAAACTGAAATAATATGGTTGCATCTGTGTGTACACCCTTAAATTAATACTTTGTCAAAGCACCTTTTGATTTTATTACAGCACTCAGCCTTTTGGGGTATGAGTCTATCAGTATGGCACATTTTGACTTGGCAATATTTGCCCACTCTTCTTTGCAAAAACGCTCCAAATCTGTCAGATTGGAAGGGCGTCTCCTGTGCACAGCCCTCTTCAGATCAGCTGACAGCTATTAAATCGGATTCAGGTCTGGGCTCTGGCTGGGCCATTCCGAAACATTAATCTTCTTCTGGTGAAGCCATTCCTTTGTTGATTTGGATATATGCATTGGATCATTGTCATGCTGAAAGAAGAAGTTCCTCCTCATTTTTAGCTTTCTAGTGGAAGCCTGAAGGTTTTGTGCCAATATTGACTAGCATTTGGAACTGTTCATAATTCCCTCTACCTTGACTAAGGTCCCTCTGACTGTACTAGCACAGCTGATCTTTATTTGGGATTTCTCAGAAGCACTGATGGCAGGGGTGTACTGACTCCTACTTAACATAAGTTTGAATGTGATTGTTTACTGCTGAACATCCCCGGTTATAAGAGGGTGTGCACACAGATGCAACCATATTAATTCAGTTTTTTATTTTTACTTTCCTCCACCTAAAACAGGTCCGCAGCCCGGTGCCAGTCCGTGGCCTGAGCTGAACTGGGCCGCAGAGACAGACCTCCTGCGCATGCACTTACTCCTGCCCAGCTGATTTGTGCATGCACGCACTCCAGCGCACCTGTGTGAGCACCGCACCACTGTTTGCAGATGTGCATGAGCGCACATGAGTGCCATGCTGCCATTTGTACATGCGCGCCTGCACAAGCGCTGCCCTGCCATTCACGCACGCAAGGTGCCCCACCTTCCCCAGCTGGTCCGTGGGATGAAAAAGGTTGGAGATCTCGGACCTAAAAGATTTTAGTTTGCTGTTCAACTGAGGTGGACAGTTCATAGGTCTCATTAAAGGTGGAAAAAGTTCTGAAATGATTTAACTTTGTCTCATTCTTTTACATCACAGACACTTGACATTTTAACAGTAGTGTGTTTTTATATCCACTGTACATGTACCTTTTGAGGATGGAAAAGACCCACCCATTGCAGCCCTAGCGGTTGTTGGAAAGGGTAAGTGGGTATTCCTCTGGTTCCTGTGCCATAGGAATTTCCATATCTTACTGTATACAGGCAGAGGCGACTTAATCTCACAAGCTTTTGTAAGGTTGCCGATAAATCTATGGCTGGTGCTGATCTAGTATTGGGGCAATACTAGCAGACGTTGTAGATCCATAGGGTCCCCTACCTTTCTGTGTCCTTGATTTGCTCCAAAAGATATGCCAACTGTGCATATGTAGAAGAGAAGTCTAAAGCAGACAGAAGATGGGAATAGAAAAAGCCATGAGCACTTACTTTCTGTCTTCTCAGTGCAAGCCTACAGGGCTTTGGAAAGGGTGGATTCTCTGCCTTGTATCAAATGTCCTTCTGCCCTGTGGGACTGCTCTTTCTGAGAAAGAGACACAGAAAGAAAGATACAGCCTGGCTTAAAAAACAAAACATAACTTGACGATGTGGCAACCTCATTCCAAGGCATTAAATGCTTGTGAGCAGACAAGGCACTAAGTGCTTGTGAGCAGACTTTTCTCCCTCACGGTGTTTCAGATTCTTTGACAAGTGGCCCTGTAGCTGTGCTTTATTTCAATGCAACAGTGGATTGCAACTGTCACTCATTTCTATCTAAAATAGCAAGAAATTTTGGCACGCCCTAAACACTGACAAGCTTTGATTGGCATTAGCCTTAATTTTCAGGTTTCCCTCTCCACTTTGCCCCATAGGTTGCCTTTTAAGGGACTGTAGCTGTTGCCCTGCTCTTTTGCAATGTTCCTTGTAATCCATCATCGTAATATATATCTTCTCAACAGGATTCACAGGAAAGCTTCTATCCTTATAGATCCTCCAGTGATTTGGGATAAAAACAAACAGAAATCCCAATGTTTAATATGTGGGAATGACTTAATATGCAGCTATTGTAGGATAGGGCTGATACTACTGGGTTGGGTAGGTAACTCAGTGACTTAGATATCCAGTGAAGCTTGAGGTAAGGAATTCAATTCTCCATTGTGCCTCCGGGAAGAAGACGCAGCCTGTGTGGCCCTGGGCAAGCTGCATAGTCCCGGGGCACCTCTAGAAGAAGGGAGTGGTAAACCACTTCTGTGTATTTTTTAATTAGAAAATCCTGAAAAGGGTCTCCATAAATTAGAACTGATTTGACGGCACACAATTATCATCATTAATACTATTATGTCAATTAAAAAATAAGTTCACATGAGTATAAGGCAACAGATAACGTACCATGTTTTCTGTTCTGTTTAAAGAATGGTTTGTTTTTTATTGCTTACTGCTATTCTCCAGATAAAATGAAGCAAGGCATCTAACTCTTCCCTTGCTAATTTGAACTTGTTATAAGCTCTCTTTTGTTCTTCACTGATAAAGAGCAAATGCTTCATTGAACTGCCATACTTAAGAGCCTTAGGGTGCTGCTGAGCAGCTTTATTACCTGTTGGTCTACATACAGTCACAGAGATCACCAGGCAAGATAATCTGGTCCATTTATTTTAGACTCATCCTGAACTGTACTGTCCAGATAGGCTTGGAGGGGTTTTGGTGCACTCC